GCGGCGTCTCGGCGCGGAGGCCGCGGCGCCCCCCGCCCCGCCCCCGCCGCCGTGACGCAGGGAACAGAAGCAGAAAGTCAGCAGACAGGACAGAACCACAGAGTTCGGCTTCATCTTCACACACTCACAGGGTTCGGTCCGGATGGTTCTTTAAAACACAGGCAGCAGCACTGACGTTGAAGCTCCTGTTCATTTAAAACATTTGAAGGTCGGTGAGGACCGGAAGACGAACTTTGGTTCTAAAAGTCCAGAACTCCCCCAGCCCAAAAAAACTGGATCAGTTCCTGCAGTCAGTGTCCAGAGAAGGAGCTGAGTACAAGTCCTGGCATCATCATCATCACCACCGTCATCGTCATCATCATCATTATCACTATCATCACCATCATCATCATCACCATCCTGGTGCGCTCCTGTGATCCAGTCCTGAGTCCGGCTCTGGGACTGTGGAGGTTCTGCTGTCAGACCTGGGTTCTTTCAGCGGTGGAACCAAAAACAAGAAAAAAGAAAAAAGTTTGGTTTTGTTTTAAAAGTGAATCAGATGAACTCCAGTCCACGGTTCACGGTCCACCATTCACGAACAACACACGCACTAAGTCCAAAGTGTGTCCGTGAGCGGCTCCACTGGGATCTCCTCTGTTACTGTTACTGCTGCTGCTGCTGCTGCTGCTGCTGCTGCTGTTACTGCTGCTGCTCCGTGACTGATGAGCAGCTGGATCGTCTCGTCCTGCTTTAGAACCGCGGCTCGCGGACCCAGAATGGCTGTCTGATCCCTGTGCTCCACAGCAGCTTGTCCCGACTCCGCGCTCAGACTAAGTCTTTATACAGCCGATCAAACCACGGGCGTGTTTCCACCAATTGGACGCGGCGGAGGATGTGACTGAACTTCCGTCCCAGCGCAGAGCCGCGCTCCTGAAGGCATCGCCTTTACTGTGGGAACACGCGAACGCAACACAAAGGCTGCAACATTTTTTTCCTCTGCCACACAGGTGTGGGTGTGTGAGTCTGTGTTGGGACGAATGTTTTCAGGAGTCCGTGGAAACATCAGTCACACATACACAAACACGAAAATAACACGCGCGCGTGCGCGTCCACGCGCCTTCCTTTAAGCACAGTTCGTGATATAAGACAAAATACTGAGACGATGAAATAAAAACTGAGGCTGAACAACTTCAACAGTCAGAGTCAACGTCAGCAGTCTGATGGCGCCCTCTACTGGCCTCAATCTGTCATTACGTTACATTTGGTCCGATTGTCTTTCACATCAGTTACCATGGCGACTTCAACACATCATCTTTTCGCCGAAAAGCAAGAGCACGAACCACTGTGTGGCCGCCATGTTGAATCAGGGCCTCAGACAGGCGTCAGTACACGTCAGTATACACCAGATACATGTACAGATGAGTAGTATTTGATTATTAGTAGTTTTTTATTTGATAGCAAACATATGTAAAAATATATGAAACTGTCAAATACATTTAAATATATCAAACTTTCAGGGTGACTGGTCAGTACACACTGAGAAACACACACACAAATATATACAAATATATGAAGTCCGTCCTTCACAGTGTTTCCACTGAGGACGTCTTTTCGTGGTCCAGGGTCAGGAGTCGCTCAGAGTCATCTGCCAAACAGACAGTGGTCCATGAAGGGTGCACGGTCGCCCCCCCAGGACCAGGAGCAGGTCAGGGAGGTGCTGATGGCTGATGTCCTCCTCCTGCTCCTCTTCCTCCCGCTCCTCGCTGAGCTGGTCTTCTGTGCAGCTCCACGTTTTCTTTAAAGCCTTGTTTTCAAAGGTCAGACCGGATCGGTTCCGTTCCGTGTCCCTGTTCGTGGGTTCCTGCTCCGAGGCGGTGGTTCTGCCGCCGTGGCTCTGGTCCAGACTGAAGGTCTGCAGCTCTATGGCTCCCTGAGACCCCAGGAAGGACAGAGGAGCGGGGAAACACCTGTTCTTGAAGGGCCGGGTCAGAACCCTGGTCCTCTGTCCACAGCCGGGCCACGGGCCGCCGGTTTCTGACCTGTAGCTGGGACCCAGTCCGGTGCAGCAGTGGTGGATCTTGTCTGGGGGGCTGGAGCCTGGCAGTGAGGCCATCTGCCCCCAGGTGTGAGTGCTGAAGTTAAAGCTCCACAGGCAGTTGTTCGGAGAGTTCTGGCTCAGCCCCCCCCCAAAGAGAAGCATGCGGTCCTTGTAGGCCACAGCGGTGTGGCCCACCAGTCGGACGGGTCCTGACCTGCAGGTACAGTCGCATACAGATGTAGTACCAACAGTACTTGTCTGTAGTACAGTGTATAGGGTACACAGAGTACTCAGTACTGTTGAAGTCCTCACCTGGTCGTGAGGGAACTCCATCCGTGGCTGACGGAGCTCCACCTCCAGAAGTCCCTCTGCTCCTGCAGACCCTTCAACCCCCCGTACAGGTACATGGAGTCCTGATGGAGCACGGCTGAGTGACTGTGTCTGGGACCAGGTCCTGAAGAGTTCTGCTGCCCGTCAGAGAGCAGGGACCAGACCATGGTGTCTGACACAGACACAAACACACACACACACACAGGCTGTAGGGAGGGGGCAGGAGGATGTTGGGGGGGTAGAACCTTCTACAGTTGACGTGAAACTCACCAAAATCCAACCTCCAAAACTCAGCTGAAGACCCCCTCATGTCCACCAGCCCCCCGTACAGCAGCATGGCCGAGGCCAGCACCACCGCACTGTGACCTTTCCTGTTGGAGGGGGTTCTCCTCTGACACACACACACACCTTACAGTGTCATCACCTTGGAAACAGTTGAGGTAAATAATCTATAAAGTGCCTTTGAAACAGTCTACCTGCAGGGCGGCGCTCTTTCCCGGGCTGGGTATCCACTTCTGCTTTACTGATAAAAAAAAAAAAATCACAAAAAAACAAAATCAGCACTCGAAGCAGAACAACGTCGGAGATAAATGTTGTCAACATTCACGCAGTGGTCACGTGTGGTACTGCAACAGATTACAGTCCATTGTTTAATAAATATTAAGTTTGACTCCCCTGCATTAGAGGGACTGGTACCGATGACGAAGGTCTACAGACAGGACATCAATGTTGTGTTTTTATTCTACAGTACTTAACTTTGCAGTAGCGGGATTCTAACCCGCACTAAGGAATACCCAGTACCTCGTACTGCGCTACAGTCACAAATGAGCCGAGTTTGTTTACAGTACAGCTGTCGTACTGATGTCAGCCAATCACAGCACACCTTCTAGCAGGTGAACCTATCAATGTCCTGACCATCAGTCTGATGTTCTACAGCCATGATGACTGTCGGTACGGTGCCTCAGCGGCACATCCGTGAGTCCCACTCACCCATGTCAAATACCCACAGCGCACTCTTGGACCTGGTGGACGCAGAATCCAACATACCTCCAAACACGTACAGGGCGCCCTGGAAGACACGAGGTCAACAATGAACCCTGTGTGACCTTAACGGTCAAAGGTCAATCTAACTGACCTCGGTACAGCGGCGCTACAACATGACCCGTTTGGACTGAACCCTCTCTGGGCTCCTACCTCATACGCCACCATAGAATGTTCCTCCAGTTCTTCAGGCGCCGCTTCGCCCGAACAGTTCAGCTGGGTCCACTCATGACGCACTACAACATCAGAGCAGTGGGATTAGCCAACAGCAGCACCAGCGCCATCTTCAGGTCCACGGACCGAGTCCAGGTTCTTACCCACACTGTACCTCCAGAGGTCCCTCAGGCAGCCGCTGCCTCGGCCCCCCAGGACGTACACGTGACCCTCGGAGCTGCAGCAGGCGTGTTTGTAGCGGTCGCACGGAGAGGGGGCGCCACTGGGGAGCAGCGTCCACAGACAGGGACCGCTGGGACGTGTGTCCGGCATCTCCTGCTCCGACTGACGCGCGTCACAAAACTACAGTCATCTACAGTCGTCTCTCAGCACAGGCCACGGACAAAAGTCTTTACACCTAGTACAGAGGACAAAGACAAGTAACAGAGAGGACAAGGAGCAGATCTCTGGTCAGTCTGGACCAGGTGACCCCTGGTCTAGACAAAACAAATTACATTCATGTCCTCCACTGTCATGAATACGGTCAAACAAAAACACTAGGTACCACATATACCACCAGAGGGAGCCAAAGTACCACTAGTGGTACACAATTCATAGTTTGAGAACCCTGGCTCTGAACGACATGTGATCGTCACATCATCGTTTGTATAAACACACACACACTCTCTCTCACACACACAAACTTGCTGAATACTTTGACGCTTTCCTCCCGCCAAATGGTGTATCTACGTCATCTGTCATCTTAGATTCGTGGTCATCAACACCCACATGACGCGGACAGACTCCTGTCAGGACAGACTCTTCTTCTTCTACGGTACCATGTGACGCTACAGTTGGTACACCAGAGTCACAGCTAACCTAACAACAGCCCCGTTGACCTGACGACCACAGCGGGAGGAATGTCGTCCACAGACGGCAGCTCCTCTAACGGTCTGTGCTGCGGCTCCGCCCGGGACAGAATGACACCGTTTATAATCACCGCAGAGGTTTCGTTATTATTGTAAACGGACTCGGGGACTTCAGTACTCCGTAGTACTCTTCAGTTTACTTTACTGCGGTTCGGTGTTGTTCGGGGCTAACGGAGGAAGTGAGGATGCTACCGTTGCTCACTGAGTCTCAGGAATTTAGAACCATAATCCGCTACAAAACGACTTCAGAAACAGCTGGACGTTTGTCTGGACGACATTACGTCCTAACACGGTTTCCTGTATTCAGTAAACAAAGGTGTAAATGTCCAAGTGTTACTTACAAAAAAAGAAAAAGACCTTTTCCTCCGTTTAAACTCTCTCTCCGCCTGAACGGTCTTCTGTTGCATTCAGGGGCCCTTCGTAAATTACAGCTCTGTAATTACCCGGCCGTAAAAACATTGTTTTACAGTTAATTTCCTGCGACGAACGTACAGTTTTTTTCGGGAACAAAGTTGTTGTTGTTTTAAATAACCAGAAGACTTCTTAGATTCGACGCTTGAGGAATTACTTCCGTGAATTGACCTGTAGTGTGTGTGTGTGTGTGGGAGAGTGAATTATTTATATGCATAAAGTATCCACAGGATACAAGTAAACAAGGAATGAACCAACAAGTAGAAGGGGACTGGACCAGCACAGACGGTTCTCTCCAGTACTGACTGGAACTGTTCTCTAACAGTACTATACAGATGAAATACCTCCACGGTATCATCCTGGTCCCACCCACTGCTCCATTGAAGGATTTAAAACCCTCTGTGATGGGACTGTGATGAACAGATGACCATGAACTAGTCATTAAAAAAAAAAAAAAAAAATTCCACTACTACTTCCTTCAACCA